CCCGCAGAATATGTACCGCGCACACCCACGTGTCCCCAGACGCCGAGCGCTAGTCCACCTCGAAAGAGGAGTCCCGCACACCGTACGCGCCTGTCTGATGTCCCGCGTCCGCGAACCCGGCGCCTGTCCGCAACGCGCCCCAACAGCGAGCCCATCCACCTGCTCGCTTGTACCTACTGTTCGCGATAGCTGACCAGCGCCAGTCCGCGACCAGCGACCAGAGCACCGTCTGTACAGCTGCACAAAAGTGAGCAACCGAGCCCAGCCACTGCGACCCGACACCGAGACGACTTGGCCCTAATTCCATGCTTCATTCAACAACTCGATTAGATTCGAGAAAATGCCAAATCCGTCAGCCCATAAGATTGTGGTGTTCAGACAAACTTCATCAACGGTATTCAGAAACGAGGTCGACTAAAAAATTTAAAAGGTAATGTCCAGATCCTAACTATAGATTCTGTTGTGATAGGATTTATTTCAATAAGATCAATAATGTGCATGTCGTTGACGTTCCTAATAGAACCCAAAATTTTTAGGTAACACAAAGCAAGACATTGAAAATACAGGAAGGGCATTTACTACACTTTTAATTAGCACTTCTTTTCCAGCTGGGGATAACCACTTGTTTTTCCAGCTTTGAATTATGCTTTTAACCACATTGAGAACATAAAAAAATGCCTCTCTTTTGGACTTACAATACCCAGGGGTAATCCCAGGTATCTGGATGAGGAGTGCAATTGAATACCATGGAGCTGCTGACAACACACATTGTGTACTTGAGATGGTGTGTTCTTGCTGAAATATATGGTAGACTTTGTTGTGTACAAATTGTTATTTTTACCGAGTACCAATTGAAATATTCGTTCCCCGAGTCGATTTCACGAGGAAGACGATTCGGAATTTAGCTTTGATGTTGATAGCACATAAAAGGAAAATAAAACCTAAACATACTAATCACGATAGGGTTGAGAAATTATCATCTAAGAAATTACATAAAACAATAATCTACCTAAAAATAGAAACGACACAAAGACGAAGAAGCTAGAGAGTCGAGGATAATCAATCCAAGTTCTATTTGCAAAACCGGGATGTTAGAATATCACTTGTGAGTTGTCCCACATCGTTCATATATAGAAAATAGACCCACTTTATAAGTCTAATGGGCTACTCCTCCTTTCGCCAATTGGTTTTGGGATGGAACCCCATTGGGCTTCATTTGGGTTTTCCCCACTTTGGTGCGCTTCATGTCAGTGGGCCCGCACCGTTTTCCCCCCAGTTTCTTTCATGGTATCAGAGCTCGGTTCTATTGGGACCGTGCGATGATGTACCCGCTTATGGGAGTCTGATTCCCCACGTACCCGTTTATGGGAGTCTACTAGAAAGTCTGCTTCTAGTAGGCTTGGGGCGCCCAGTTGGGCTTGGGCTTCCGAAGGACTCACAAGTGAGGGGGCGTGTTAGAATATCACTTGTGAGTTGTCCCACATCGTTCATATATGGAAAATAGACCCACCTTATAAGTCTAATGGGTTACTCCTCCTTTCACCAATTGGTTTTGGGATGGAACCCCATTGGGCTTCATTTGGGTTTTCCCCACTTTGGTGCGCTTCATGTTAGTGGGCCCGCACCGTTTTTCCCCCAGTTTCTTTCACGGGACATTAATCATTCTATTCCAGATTGACACTCTTTCTTAAACATCTAGCGGTTTGCTCCCAATAACTCTTCGTAACAAGGGTTTGAACATAGATGAACAAACTCGAGCATACAATACAAGTCAATTATCCAATCCCAATAACTTTTCGTAACAAGGGACGGGTC